TATATACACACACACACACAGGGTGTCCCAAATTAACAATCCAATTTCATTGAAATTGGACCATTTTAAGTGCTCATTTTATTCAGTTCATGTTTAATATGTGTTAGAAGTGTATAAATTTCTAATTTTGGTCATAACTTTGATTTAAAAAAAAAAAAAAAAAAAAAATAAAATAAAAGTAATTTTATTTTCATTGCTTTCAGAACTGTATAAATCATGAACACACAAGAATCTCTCCAGACCCCTCCCCCCATTGGCGTAGACGCTCCATTTATTTTAAAGTATTTATTTCATCTATTCGCCTGCATACTCCAGAAAATGTCCTCTGGCAGGATTTGAACCTGCATCCCTTTTGTAGGAAGAATCACCATTTGATCTATCATGCTTTTCCTACTTGACTACAAGGTGCTTCAAATTAAAACAAAGTTCTATTTTGCCTTTAAAGCCCATCCACCTGTTCAGATTTCTAAAAATACATATCCGCTTACTCTCAGTTTCATATCTAAAATGTAAGCAAAGCAATTCCTAAAGCATTAATGGATTGTTTTTAATACAACATTTTTATTACTTCAAATGTTATTTTTAGTGGATACCCATAGTTGAGTAGACGTCCTGTTTGTTTTAAACAGTTTTTATTTTATCTGCTAGTCTGTGTATTTGAGAAAACTTAGAAAGAAAATGTACTCTTCGTAGGTGGAACTACTGCCTGATCCAACATGCTTTTACTGCTCAGCTACAAGGAATTTCACAATTTTTATATATATATATATATATATATATATATATATATTTAATTCAGCAAGTCTAGAAGAAACCTCGGCAGAATGCAGAAAACACTGGATGCCTGTTTCATCCCATATTTAGGACTCATCAGCAGTGCGCATCCACTTCCAAGAATTGAAACCCGGACAGTTACGTTATCAGGCAAATGTCATACCAACTGTGGTTGAATATATGATTGAGCAGCACTATATCAAGTCTAGTTTGCTACCTCTTTGTCACCAAGGCCTGTTTGTACAGTTGGTATGATGTTTGCCTGATAATATAACTGTCCAGGTTTCAATTCTCAGTAGTGGATGTACACTGCTGATGAGTTCTAAATATAGGACGAAACGGTCATCCAGTGCTTTCTGCATTCTGTTGAGGTTTCTTCTAGACTCGATGAATTACTTAATTATAATTATCTTAAATCCTCCTAACAATTTCTATCACATATATATATATATGTATGTATGTATTTTTATATATCAAGAACAGCATTGAGGAAATTGTATGACAATTTACGTTATATATATTTTCAAATATAATACCCTTGTACACACAAATATTACTCACAAATATATAAATCTATACATCCACATTTATGGTGAACAACCAATGTGTTTTGTGTATTGTTTTTTAAAAATGTCTCTTTTGTGTTCATATAGTCTTTTGTTTAAACTTCTTGAGGTTTCTCCAATATATTTTTTCTGGCAATCCTTGCAGTTGACAGAGTAAATTCCTCCTCTAAGTTTGGGCTTGTTTTGTACTGATTGTTTTTATTGTTTTAGATGTAGTTTTGAACTCAAGACATTTTAAAAGAAAAATGCAGAAAGTGCATTGGCCGTTCACTGTAACGAAACTGACCACAATTTTGATGTCATTGTTAATTATAAGAGAAAATAATTCATTAAGATGAAAATGTCGACAAAGAATTATTTATTTAAAGAATTATTTAAAAACAATTCTTTCAAAATTTTGAAACTACCATTCTGTTATAGTGGAACACACCTATTCTATAGTTAAGACTCTCCCACCTATAATAAGTAATAATAGTAGTAGTAAGAGTCGCTCAGGAGTTGGTCAGTCAGTTGATGTCGGACGACCATTAGTCGGATACTAAAAGTATCAGCGACCACCACTAGATTTCTCTGCATCATTACCTATTATATCAAGTTCCTAACGTTTTGTACGTTGAACCTATTTTAGGACCAACTTAGTGAAATACAAGCCTCCACTGTGAAACTACTCTACAACACTTGATGATGATTTGAACTCATACAGAGATAGAAAAATTTTCGTTCACTCTACAACACATTCATACACATGTATAGTCATAACAACATCAACAAACCCACTCTGATGAAGTCCTAATGGTTGAAGTCTTACAAGTAAACTTTTCCATATAATATATAAGGTAACTATTGTAGCATACCTACAGACAATAATGGGTATGCCCCTATTCCCATAAATACAGTAGTGAATACTGTATGTGTGGGTCTGCAGTCTGAGATTCATTGTGGAATTCACTTGACTTCTAGCAGTTGACTACTTCTATGTGCCACTGACAAGTTTTATATGTGTTGTTCTTGCCCTAAGTATTATTGTTCATTACCAACCTTCATGTGATTATTCTATTCAGTAACCTTCCCTAAGTTACAACAGTAACCAAAAAAGTCTTTGTTTTTGATTTATTATTAAAAAAAAAAAAAAAAAAAAAGAAGATAAACAGCAAATTTGTCATATCATTAGTCCTTAAAGTAATTGGCATCCAGAAACTTTTGCCAACATGCCTCCGGCTGCTCAATGGCTGGTGGTAAAAGTCAGGTGTCTTGGACACATAGAAGCCTGTAATTGCCTGCCACAAGTTTACCTCATTTGCAAAGAATTTCCCATGAAGGTGCTTGTCCAAGGAATAGAAGAGGTGGTAATCTGTTGGCACAAGGTCTGGGGAGAAGGGTGGATGGCAGTGTCTTCCAACCAAGTTGCCATATGGTATCTCTGGCCACCTGTAACACATCAGGCTTGGCGTTGTCATGGAGGAACAGTACACCCTTGAGTTTAACCAATACTGGTTCCTTCTGCCTCCGTGCCTGTTGCACATGTTCCACATGTTCCAACTGCTGTGAGTACAGGTCTGCAGTGATATCTTGACCCATTGGTAGCAGCTCATAGTTCACCATGTGTTTTTCACCACAAAAAAATGCTAAAATTTCCCATACTAATTTACAGTCCACTGCTGAAACAAGAAAACAAAATTTTTAACCAACATTTTGAAGGTTCTAAAGAGGATTTTAAAAAAATAGTTTAATAATAAAAGAAATCTTTGGTCTTAATAATTACAAAGATTTTGATAATAAAACTTTGTTTTTATTAAGTTTAGGGCATTTTTTTCATCATGGTATGCTCATTTTTTTAGCAAATCTTTAGAGGTACCTAGTATGAGATCTGATGACATATTGAGATTGCCAAAGATGTATTCCAAAACCTAAGCAGAGTATTAAGAGACAGGAAAGTTTTGTTAGAAAGAAAAGAAAAAAAAAAGTACAGAACTGTTACATGATATTTGTCCTTCTGTATGACAGCAAATATTGGACAATCTACTCAAAGATGAAGAAGAAACTTGAAGCAACAGAAATTTGGTTCAACAGAAGGTTGCTAAAAATACCATGATCCGAACATGTGAGCGATGATGAGGTTTTGAAGAGAATGCAAACATTAAGTAAAGGCAGTTGAAATTTCCAGGACATGTAATGAGGAAGGAGGGCTTGGGAACCCGATCCTCACAGGATAGATAGAGGGATAGGAATTGAAAACAACAACAACAACAAAAAAAAAAAAAAAACTAATTGAAATTGGCTTAACTTTCAGTGTGGCTAGACGTCCGGTTGCCTCTAGCTAGGATCAAAACTCGGCTGAATTGGCGTCAGTTGGAGATTCTACCACTAAACCGTTAGTGTACAGCCGGTGTGAAGGTGACTCTTATCATATTTATTTTTTCTAGATGAACACACACTAACTGAGAGGACTTGATTCATTTGCCGAAGAGTCTTGCTATAATAGTTGTAATAGTCACTGTTTTTAAAACCCACACTTCCTCCCCCCCAGAGAGTTCAACTAAAATAAATTTTTCAGGAGCCTATATATTGTCATCCACAGACAGACTGTTTTGCTGTATCACAGCTCTTCAGTGAGCATCCCAGTTCCAGAGTTTCATAGACAGACCCTCCAGGAATCACTCCGTCCATTCGTCAGGAGGTATCAGCAGATGACTGCATTATACTTTTTTTTTTCTTTTTTTTTCTTTTTTTTTATAGTGTGTATGCGCACATATGTAGAATGTCATGCTTATTTGTCTTTTTCATCATATTTTCTTTTCTTTTCTTCCCCCCGCCCCTGACACTCTCTCTTTAACCTTTTCTCTTTTTCAAATTTTTTTTCAATTGTAGTCATTTTGAACAAATTTATATATATATATATATATATATATATATATATATATATATATATATATATATATAAATTCAAAAGACTTATCTTTCTGACCTCAAGTTGAACAGATACACCACTCAACAGGGTCAGGTACCTCTATTGAATTCAATAAAAGTTATATTTATATGCTACATTTAAAAAAAAAAAAAAAATCTGCAAAACTTGAAAGTAAAAAATAATTCTTTTCAACTTTCCTTTATCGATTAAATATTCGTTACTCTTTTTTTTTATTTGACATTTTGTTTACAAAATTTGTTTGCCTTTAAACATGTTAAACTCCAGTAATTTACATGACTGTGTTATTATAGGTGGTAATGATCTATGTTATATAAAATGTGTGTGGATGAATGCTTACAAGAAAATCTTCAGTTCATCACTTAAGTCAAATAAATGAGGATTGAGTATGAAATTGCGCTTTCTGATGGGGGGGAAACCCCCCCCCAAAATGCAAAGTCCTTTTTTTTTTTTTTTTGTTCTAGTTCTAGCATCAAATAAACATGTTTTGATAAAATATTCCAAGAGAGGAAGAAAAAAAAAAAAACAACTCTTTTTCAAGCTTTTGCAACAAACACTTTCAGTTATGCTAAAAATTGGTACAGTATCTTGAAATTTTCCTGTCTTTTTTTTTTTTTTTTTTTTTTTCCCACCCGCTAGAACGGACTGATTACGATAGCGTAAACATTTAACAGAATTCCTGATGGGATAAATAAGCTATACTTAAAAATGGTTCATATCTGATGCAAACAAAGAATACTACTTTACAAAGACCCGATCATAAAAGATTTAGATAAGCAAAAATTCACAAAGCATATACTAACTTCTCGCTCTCTCTCTCTCTTTGCCCTCCACTTCTCTCTCGCTCTCTCTCTCTTTGCCCTCCACTTCTCTCTCGCTCTCTCTCTCTCTTTGCCCTCCACTTCTCTCTCGCTCTCTCTCTTTTTTCCCTCCACTTCTCTCTCTGTCTCTCTCTCTCTTTTGCCCTCCACTTCTCTCTCTCTCTCTCTCTCTCTCTTTGCCCTCTCTCTCTCTCTCTCTTTGCCTCTCTCTCTCTCTCTTTGCCCTCCACTTCTCTCTCTCTCTCTCTCTCCCCCTCCACTTCTCTCTCTCTCTCTTTGCCTGCCCTCCTTCTCTCTCTCTCTCTTTGCCCTCCACTTCTCTCTCTCTCTCTTTGCCCTCCACTTCTCTCTCTCTCTCTTTGCCCTCCACTTCTCTCTCTCTCTTTTGCCTCCACTTCTCTCTCTCTCTCTCTTTGCCTCCACTTCTCTCTCTCTCTCTTTTTCTTTGCCCTCCACTTCTCTCTCTCTCTCTCTTTTGCCTCCAATTCTCTTGCTCTCTCTCTCTCTCTTTGCCCTCCACTTCTCTTGCTCTCTCTCTCTCTTTTGCCCTCCACTTCTCTCTCTCTCTCTTTTGCCCTCCACTTCTCTCTCTCTCTCTTTCTCTCTCTCTCTCTCTTAAAAAATAAACTAAATTAAACTCTTTTTGATTATTTTTGAAGAAAAGTTCACAGAATTATGATATAGGAAATTATTTTACAAAAAGTTATCACCCTAGTCAGTGTCTATTAAGAAGTTGGATTATATATCAGCTCACATCCCATTACCATCCAAAGATGGCTGTGGAGAAGGGGGGCAAGTCAAAGAGTGAGTGAAAAGGGTGGATTTACCGGATCACATAAAATTTAAATAAGTTTTCCTTAATTCACATATATGAAATTTAATGTAAGAGGAGACTTCATTTTCTTAAGAAACCCGGCTCAAAACCATTATTCAGACTATTGTCCTCATCTTTGTCGCCATATTTATTACAACGTTTCGGCTCCGGCCTTCTTCAGGTGCTGAGAAGAAGGCCGGAGCGTACAATGGCCAAAATGTTGTAATAAACATGGCGACAAAGATGAGGACAATAGTCTGAATAATGTAAATACTGTACATAATACCTCATCTCACAAATATAGACATATACTGAAAGGCCGAAACGTTGTAATAAATATGTCAATGAAGATGAGGACAATAGTCCGAATAATGTAAATACTGTACATAACGCCTCATCTCAGAAATATAGACAGATACTGAAGGATTGGATAAATGTGGCAACAAAGATGAGGACAATAGTCTGAATAATGTAAATACTGTACATAACACCTCATCTCAGAAATATAGACAGATAATGAAGGATTGGATAAATATGGCAACAAAGATGAGTACAATAGTCTGAATAATGTAAATACTGTACATAATACCTCATCTCAGAAATATAGACAGATACTGAATAAAATTAAAATTAATAAAGATAACAGATTAATGTAAGGGGAATAAAGATAAGTAAACAAATAAAATGATAAATATGAAACTATATTTAAACATTTTTTTTATCAATTAATGAAGTAGAAAAAAATTCAACCATCATTCACAAACTTATGTGGTGAGCATCTTTCCATAAAACTTATGCATCATATATAAGCCTCTGCAGGCACTTTGGTCATTACTGGGTGTTCCACACTTTCAGCTTGTGCCACATCTAAGCTGCTGTTAGAAAATCCCTGGGCTCTTCAACATAGTGTAATGGTTAACAAGTTTGTCTTGCTAGAACAATTATACCAGACCAATAAGTTTGATCCTTATTGGGTGCCCCATACATTCTGCCTTGTGTCACATCTAAGCTACACCTAGAAAATCACCAGCTGTAAACCTCTGCAAATGTTTCGTCAACTCAATGTTTGTCATATAGTTAAATTTAGCTCATGTTATTGGTAGACCTCTCAAACCTATTGGGTTACATGCAAAACTTAAGCCCTTTTCAAGAATTTTGGCTCTTACAGACCAGGGTGTCTAGACCAAGAGACCTAATTTTTAATTAGATATATGAAAGTTTTGTTTTAATATTTCTTTTAAGTACAAATAGCATTAATGCAGCTCCATAATTGAACTGAAAATCATTCACGAGGCTCAAGAATGTCCGCTTGGCTATATTGTGTGATTCCATTGTGCTGTTGAAAAGGTTTTCAGATGACAGACCTATGAAGTTGTCTAAAAGGTGGCAAAACAAGTTAACATTGAAATTTCCATTAAATCATTTCTTTCTTTTTTTTTTTTTTTTTTTTTTATTACATCATGTTCCTCCCACCACCCAAAATAAGTCCGTTCCAACTAAATATTTCATAAACCAAAATGGCAAAAATTGGCAGAATTTGCGGGGTGCCAAATGTCAATTTTGAAACATCACTTTCTTTATTTATCAAAATTTGGATGTAGACTTCTATTCCTAATTTTCTTTTGGTGCTGAATATTCCCAGAAATGGAAATTTAAGCTCTTTTTAGGAATGTTGGCTCATCACTGCAGTGAGTCTAGACATAAACCCTTAGTTTTTAATAAGAAATGTCACAGTTTATTGTGGTATAATATGTACATAGCATCTCATCTTAAACTTTCACTACTGCCAGCCTGAAAGGTTGTTCCAAGCTCCATCAGATGTCAGGGAGACTCTCATAAATCATGATGATTATACATATAACCATTTATAAAGATTTAATGGATATAATTTTTTAATTTTATTACTCCAAATGTTATTTTTAGTGATTACCCATGTTTGAGTAGATTTAAATTTTCTAGATTATGCAGGCTGGTAGGTGAGAATGAATATCATTTAAAATAAAATGGAGCATTTACTTAAATACGGGCAACTGCTAAAAATAATCTTTTGAAGTAATAAAAAGATGTTGAATTAAAAAAGAAAATTTGTTTAATTTTTGGGGGAAATTGCTTGATTTACATTTCTGATACGAAACTGAGCTGCTTTTTTTTTTTTTTTTTTTTTTTTTTTCCTAAAAGCAAAATTCTGAATGAATATGTTTTAAAGACAAAAATTGAAAGAAACTTGCTTTATTGAGATACTTTTTGAGGGTGGGGTTGATTAGGGGACCCCAGGCAGTGCTTGCTATCTTATCAACATTTGCTTTTTTAACTACCTATATTGATATACGTTACAACTTAAACATAACCATTAAAGCATGAAAAACTTTTGTGGATTTAGATGTCATTCTGGAATTTTTGTTTTTCTGTCCAAATTCATAATTTGTTTTGCTCATGCTAAGTCTTGAAAAAAACTTAAAAAATTCAGTTTTTTTTTTTTTAATCCATAATGTTGAATGTGTTAGATTATTCAACTTTTTAACAAGAAAAATCTCAAGTTGATGTTAAAAATTGCTGCAAAACATTGCTGATTTATTTAAGATGGAATGATTGACATGTTTCTAATTTGTATTTAGATACATTGTATTTATTTTCAGTTTTTCTAGTTGAATTGTTCAACTATTATTGTACATAATTAGGTTACAATAAAATTGGTATTTTATATGAATACTACCATATGAAAATAGAGATGTAATAAAGTGGGGGCCCCCTTATCAGAGATTCGGGTGGAAGGATGAAACCCTTGTACCAGTGCTGTTAGTAGAATACAATATTAAAATAGGTTTTGTTATGTGGACTTGAGACTTCTTGGAAATGTGTTCTTTACTAATGAAGCTGTTTGCAAGAATTATGTACACTAGTTTCAACCTGTGAAAATTTCAGTTTTCTTCTTTGAATTTTCTGAGGAATTTTAATTCTAAAGTTAATGACTGAGTAAGCTCATAGCGAGTTCTATGACAATAAATAGAAATTCCCCTATAGCATCATTAATTATTAGAGCTTAACAACTTTAACAAACTATAGCAACAACAATCATAAATATGAATGCTTGTCATTATTTTAAGTGGGTAGAAATGAAGATTTGAAATTGACATTTTCCATTTCACTGAAACAGACATTAACACTTCTATCTTCCCTTCTTTCTTTCTTTCTTCATTTTCTCACTGAAACCAAGTGGTGTCTTTTTCCATGCAATCAAAACAGAATAGTTCATTATTTATGAGGTATTGGCCAGGCGTAATGGTCGTGTGAACTGACAAAGGGAGGGACAAGCACAATTATGATAGGATATTATCCAACAGCAACAGGAGTCAACACTTCAGCCCTCCAGAAAGCAATTGCCAAAGAACCAATTTGTCTGATCAATGTTTACAGTGACTCAAAAACTTTTGGGTTGGGTGGGTCTGGGGGAAAACAAGTTCATAATGCTGCCACAGTGTTTTGCAGGATAAAATTTCATCAGCACTAATTCAGATTTATGTCTTTGGATATGAATCCTCATTGCTGAGGCTATTGAACAATGTTTGTCAAAAATGATACCAGATAGTATTAATTGACAATTGTATTTTTAGATATTGACTCATCTGAAAACATCTATTGATGTCATTAGGATGTAAGTGATCATGGCTCTCCGCATTTTCGTTTTCTTTTTTTTTTTTTTTTTTTTCATGATGTGAATTATGCCTTCTTGGGAAACAATAATGGATTGGTTTCCTCATTTAATTTTCCATGGTTTGGAATTCTGTTTTTTAGACTGGTTGCCATCCCATATAAGGCTAGGGAGAGTAAACTACCCAACTATTTTTAGCCCATAGCTTGTAGAGAAGAAGAGATGGATTCCTGCCTATCACGAAGGCATTAGTGGAAAGTAGAGTCGGGAGACTACTAGGTGATTTATTTTTTGGCATTCTGCACCAATTACCATCACTCTCTGAGACTTTTCTTGTTTTTGTAGAAATAAAATAAAAATGAGATGTTACTGAAAATTTCAGAGAATGGTTTCCAGAAAGAAAGGAAAATATTGATTGGAAACATGGTTCCTTATTTTATGGTTGACTGTTTTTGGGACGTGTGTGAATTGTTTGGTGAGTCATGGAAAATACTTAATGAATGGATTGCTTAGATTTTCTGAGTAGCACCCCTCCAATACCCCACTGCACACGCAGTCACACATATGTTATTGAGTAAGACTCTTCTGTTTTTGATTATTATTTTGTGCATTGAAATGTTGCTAGTGATACAAGAAATCTTTGTTTGGCTGGCATGTCACGGAAGATGATAGTTTATTATCTGTTTATTTTGTAAGACAACTGGATAAAATACATATATAAATCTACTTAGAAAAATCCAGAACATCAGTTGGAGATCCTATGCAATGCTTAACACAATTTACAGAGAATTGAGACTAATTTCTTCTAAGCTCAAACAAATGATTACAGTGTGCTGGCCACTGCCACCGAGTGGACAAGGAAATCATGTCATCCTTACTCCTATGGTATAATTCTGGAAGTGTCTTCTCACAAAGATTGACTTTCCCAGACAACATAGCTCAGGACTTGGTTGGACATTGGGGATCTGGGGACAGCAATGCAAGACTGAATAGTGTGGAAAGGGATTGTCAATAGAGTTCTGACCCACTGTAGGGAGGCCAAAGGATGATGATGATGATGAGGAAGTTAACTTTTAAGTCCTATGGAACATGTAATATTACCTGCCAAATTGTTGTTAGGGATCTGATCACATTCCGGGGACCTGAATAATTGTTT